TTCCTCTACGCGCTGAATTGATAACCGAACTAGTTATACAAAAATCTCAGACGCAATGGTCTCTAAATATGGGTTTCCAAAGGACATTGTATCTGATAGAGACATTAGGCTCACTGGGCAACAGTGGCAGAAGATAATGGAAGTCTACAACACAAGATTGACCATGTCGTTAGGGAGGCATCTTGAGACAATGGACAAATTGAACCACGTGTCAGCAACTTCTGCGCATGTATGTGAGACCAGATCAGGTGGATTGGGATGAGAACTTACCTAAGATAGCAAGCGCATATAATAACGGCCTGCATATTGTCACAAGAAGAACTCATGCACTGCATAAGCGATGGCAACCCAAACGGCCTATAGACTCTCTGACTAGAGACCAGGTGTAAACCACCTGGTACCTGTGAATTTGCAGTTTTGTACAAACAAGACATTGCAAAGGTTAAAAAGAACATCAATAAAGCTCAAGACCAGATGATTGCACAAGCTAATAAGCATCATAAACTTGCTCAATACAAGGCAAGAGATCTGGTATGGGTCAAGCCTAATGAGTTCTCATTGGAAGAAGGAATTTCACAAAAACTGCTACCTGTATATTATGGGCCATGGAAAGTTCTCAAGGTGATATGGGACACAAGTGGACCATCCTATCATATTGATATGCCCCCTCATCTGAAAGCATATCCCGTATGCGATGCATCTAAGCTGGTACACTACATTGAGGGCAAAAATTTTCCTAATAGACCATATATGTTCCCACCTTCAATGAATGTAGGGTACCAAGCAGAAACGATTCTCGAACATGGTTTCTTCTCTATCGGTGGAAAGGGAAGATCTCATAAGCAGTTCAAGGTAAAATCCGGTAATCAGCCTGAGTAGCAAGATGGTTCAGCGAGAAAGAAGTCCTACCTACTGCACTGGATATTGCTGCGGCATATGAACGAAAGTTGAAAGAAAATCGTGCCTGAAAGTTGAATTTCTGCAATGGAGTTCGAAATCAGGCAGGATGGAGTGCAATAAACTAAGTTCAAATCTACATAGACAATAGCAAGGGTCGTAACTTTTGGTCATAGCTCAGTTTGAGGGGTCGAAAGTCGCATCCAGTCTCCTAAGGCATCTAAAGAGTCCTAGGGTCATCGGGTACCAGGCCCTTAGTCAAAAGCTGCATCCAGTACCCAAGCGCCAGACCTTTGACTCTTGGAAAATCAAGAGTTAGACCCGGCATGGGAATAGCAGGCACAAAGTCAACGTCCACCAGGGAGTCACACACGGCCGTGGATCACATGCACATCAACTTTGCAGGCTTCATATGATTCTAGTTCCAACAGGGACTCGAGCTTTCTGAGTTCACAATGCATCCAGGCTATCGACTTCAGGAACATCTGGGCCATCAACGCGGTCCAGTAGGAGGCTGGTCAATGTGAATCAATGCTATAAGAAAAAGACCAGGTCGAGGGGAGATTCATTATGCCTTGTTGTTGCCTGCAGCCAAGTTGGTGCACGTGAGGCCGGAGTGCTGAGATGCTGGTGCCAGACGTTGGGAGAGGGCACCAGCCTTTTTGTAGGTGATGGTGGGTGGCCACAGCCGCCATAGCTAGAGCTCACAGAGTTCGGAGAGGAGGAGGAGGACCCGCTCTGTGAGACTGATGGGAGGATCAAGGGAAAGCTTACCTGGGCTTACCTGTCCGCAATGTGATTGAGTTGTTGATGGTCTCCACGGGAGTTGAGGAAGGACCGCGGCATCCTCCAATTCTTGGCTTGGACTATGAGAGGAGGATGGACGCTCTGCTGGAATCTGTACAGTAACTATGCCAGTGATCGTCGGAGGGAGGCCTGAGCGTTTTTGCATGGGGCCAATCGAGATATTTCCCTGACTTCTAAGTTCTGGCCCATTCCTGGCCACACACCATCTTTGTTTATCATGATACCAAGGAATCGTAGTGCCTAATCACCAGTGGACCAAGACATGGGTGTGGCTGTGTCAGCAGGTTGAGCGAGGGTTCAGTCTGATAGCCACCATCCTTCGGTTTTACCCCAGTTGACCTTCATTTCCGATGCTAATCGGAAGGCCTCCATTGCTCTTACTAGGGATTGAAATGAGCAGTCGTTGGCGCAAATGAGGACCATGAGGTCGTTGGCGAACATCAATGCAGTGGGATGGGCGAAGTCGTGTAGTGGATTGAAGTTGCGTTCCGTGAGGCGGTCTATGGACGGGTCTTTACAAAGGGAGGATGCTATGGCTTCCATAATAAAGAGGAAGATGGGGGGAGCCTTGTCTTACCGATCTTGAGATCGGGTAGGTTTCTGAAAGACTCTTATTGACCTGAACTCTGCCTGTTGCGTCTGAGTAAAGGACTCTCACCCATTCTCTAAAATTAAGGCCTACCCCCTTTTTTTCCATGCAGGCATGCAGCAAGTCCCAGTTAACCTGATCGTAGGCCTTTTTGAAGTCGAAAAACAGGATTGCTGCCTTCATTTCTTTTTTTGTGATCTTCTTCGCTGCCTTGTTCAGTGTCATCAAATTGTCTAGCGGCCAGAAGTCACTCCAAAACTCTTTCGAGAGCCGTCGATGCCCAGTGCCTTGTCATTTCCCATCTGGGTGAGGCCAGAAGTCGCTCCAAACCCGCCCAAATTCCAAAGCCTACAATTGCGATTTTTAAACTTAGCACCACCCTCTGTGCCCCAATCTATTTGTACGTGATGTCCGCTATTTTTTTTATGCTGTGGCTAAGGATCAGGATTGCATGGACTGCTGCTCTCTTTGCTATTTTTCAGCAACTGTGCTTCGGCTGTCCTTGCTGTTATTTTGAGTACAGCACCTGCCGCAGTGGTTTTGAGGCTTTTGACATGGTTTTTCACCCTGTCGGCCTGTAGCGATTAAATCTGCCAAAAAGTGACTGTTGTTTGCTGGGCTGGAGGTCAATCCTTTCCTGATGGGGAGGTTGTCAAAAGAATCAAAACATCACGTCCGTAATTGATGAGCAATGATTAGGGAAGCTGTCTCCCGCAACTTTCTCAGGAGCAGTGGCCTGGGCCCTTCCAGACTTGTCGGGAAGAGGTGTGTGTTGATTTGTATTTCATTTTGTAATTTGACCCTTGGGCATTCCCATGCCAAATCTTCCACGAAGGGGAAGACCGCCGAAGCCATTGATGCAGTATAGAGTGGCTTTCAGGCATCACCTGGACCCCAAGGAGGATCGGTGGTTCACAAGAGGGGAACTGATGACGTCTGCACCCCGCATTGTTCTGCACTACGTGAGGGCCCAGAAGGGAAAGCAACGACAGGAATAAAGAGGTTCTCGGATGACTTCCGAACCAAAGGGGGAGGGAATCTGCGGCTGCAGGTCTCTGTGGCCTTTGCCAGCCGCTGGAACAGAGGACCAGGCCGCCATAAGTGCAGGTGGGCCTGAGAAATTGTCCCCAGCCCTAAGTGAAGGCCGGCAAGGGGTCTTTTGGGTCTCTGGTCACAAGCATCAGCCCCTGTAACTAACTGGTAGGCCCAGCCTGCGAGTGAGTTACAGAGGCAGGGCGCTGGATGCAGTTCCAATAGGCTGCATGCACTGCCTACTGGGTCTGTACGCGGTCTCCGCTACAGGACAAAAGGAAGGAGGACGCCAAGGAGAGACATTTGCGCAGATTGCCGCCAGGTGGCTGCATTTTTGCGCAGCATCCAGGAGTGCAGCACCTGCGGAGGAGAGCAGGTGTGGTGGTGGTGAGCGAGCGCCAGCCGTAGCTGGCGGAGGAAGCTGAGTGGAGCAGTGTGGGTGGTCGGGAAGAAGGAATGCACTGGGGACTGGTGGTTCTCACCTGGTATTGGTGAAGGCAGCCTGTGTGAGCGGAGTCATCAAGCAGCATTGGGCCAGTGTCACGTGCACAAAGACTGAGGTGGCAGAGGCTAACGTGTGTAGAGGTAGTGGGAAGTAGAGTAATGCAGTCATACCGCAGTTGGGCTACTACATTGTTCTTGCATTGATGACTGATTGGAGGCAAGAAGCCGGACTTTCTTTGTCAGGACACTTGAGTGTTCTGTCTGCTTCTAATTGGTGTGCATTCCGCTTTGGTATTCTGCTTTCAACTCGGGTCAATAACCTCTCTTCTATGAGATTTTGCATTCTGGAATGTTGGTGTTCTCATTGCTGATCTCCTTGCATAGCTGTCGGTAAACAGATCAGGAGTTTGAATCCTGATGGCATCAGACGAAGAAATATCTCCCAGTTTCCTGGGACCAATCAGTTCGATGACGATACCTCAAATTCGTTGCCCTTCTCTTAAAGATAAACAAAAAGAAGAAAAGGTGTGTTTCCAACTTTCCACCCAGCCCATGTGGCTGAATGATACAAAGTTACAACTAATACAAACACACATATAACTGTCCATAAACAGACTATGAGTTTGAATCCTGAGTCTCCCTGAATCAGAAGGATACAAGAAGCTCAGGTAGGGGCTACCCCATTTTGAAAAGTGATGTGTGTTTTTTACCATGGTGAGCCTATGGCAATAACAGATTCTGAGCCTCACTGCACTACTCGCCAAATGTGTAAAGTGGCGACTGCATCTTCAGCTAGAAGGCGCAAAGATGCACATAGTATTTTCCTCATCTGTTCACATTGGCAAGTGCTGCAGCAAGGCCATCTGTCAGAGAAAGGACGAGGCACTGATGAGAAGAAGATTCAAAACCAATGATGAGAAAGCACACTTTCTTGAAGTTTTTTCCCTTTTTTTCTAAGCACATTTTACTTCATTCCCTTGAAGAGGGATCCAGTCACTGCAAGTGATGTTTTCTTTCTTTCCAAGTCCTGTTCAAGGTGATCGCAGGCAGCTTCTTCAGTTGTGTTCTTCTTACGTTTGTTGATCTGTTGATCCACAAGTCAGGAGTTCAAGTATCGACTATCAGTTCATTATATATTTTATAGATTTCATTCCGTCAGGTTTTCAGCTCACGTGACATGTTTATCGACAGTCGAGCGGTGCAACAAAAAAAAAAAAAAAAAAAGACTCACCTTTCGCCGCTGCCTTAATGCTGTTTCAAACTTGATATGCATTTCTCCGTTCCTCTGCCATGCCTTGTTGATGATAGGAACGATCTTCTTTGGCCACAGGAAAGTCTCCATGCACAGTTGCCATTCCTTCTCAGGAATATTAAACCGGAATGTGTCTGCCGAACCAAGCAACCCAACAAAATATGATAGGAGTTTTTCACTCTGATTCCATCAGGATTTGAATTTTGAACTCATGATCTGTTTCAGTAATAGTTACATATGTGTACTGCACTATGTGCTATATAGTATATTAGTAACACTACTCAGCCGCATTAGCCGGTGTAATCAACTGCAACTTTTTTTTTTTCTTTTCAATGTCACCTCAGCAACAACACATCTTTCCGGAGTTTAGTGTACCTTGGGCAGGAAACGGGGGAAAAAAAGAACTGTGTGAGGATTGAGCCCTCAAGTAGGGGCCTTGCCATGATGTACATGTTCTGGGCTAAGGCCCCAGCAAGCCTAGTGCCCGCCCTAAGTGAAGGCGGGCCAGCAAATCAACAAGAGCCCTCTATGCCAACATTTCACGAAGTGGGGTCTATACAGTTGCAGCACGCCAGTTGGTTGGAGTGCACCGAGTCTCGGATTTCAGCAAATGCTGAAATGCCCAGGGCCTCTGAGTTAGTTAGGCCCTGGGCACTCGAACGTGAGGSCGACAATGCATGCTGGGTAGAGAGGCYGAAAATGCCAAAGGGAAATCGGCCCACTATCTGAATCTGGCCGCAGGCCTTGATGAGARAGGCGCAAMTGCATTGCTYCGGGGCCCAACTGTATCGGGTAGGCTTCAGCCTCTGGGCCCCGGTCACAGGCTGAAGGAAGGCCGCCCRCACGCTGCACTGGCATATAGGCAAGCAGGGCGAGTGGGCAGGGATCTTGGCCAATGCTGGCACTTGCGGGCACGCTGCGCGGATGCATGTGTGCTGCGCTAAGAGCAAGCAGGCCAGCGCTAGGCGGGAGGGCGCTGCCTGCACGAAGGGCACTGGTGGCCATAGCCGGGCCGCATGGGGGTGCAGGGGAGGTGAGGGCGAAGGTGGTACTTCGGAGGTGAAGGGCGCTGTGTGGGTAACAAGGGAGAGTGTGGGGAAGAGGACACGTACCTGGTGAAGGTGGAGGTCGGCATTGGTGTTGACATCATCACTCGCTGGTAGTCAAGTTGTCTGGTTGCTGTTCATTGCTGTAGTTGTAGGATAGGCTGTAGAGTAGATAGGGCGCCTGACGCCATTCACAAGAGAGAGCTACATTTGGGTTATGCTGTTGGTGTTGCCCTGTTGGGCATGGACATTGACTCACGATTCTTCTGTATCATTCTCAATTGGATGGTTACTCGGTGGTGACATGCCGACCGCGAGGGCGTTAGCGCCGAACCGGTAAGCGCTTGTTCACAGCGCTAACCCTGTCTCTTATACACATCTAGATGTGTATAAGAGACAGGCGCAAAGCACCTCGCCACGCCTTCGGGCGTGGCTACTCGCAACAAGGCAAGGGACAAGAAGCGGCGAGATGTGAAGAGGGGGAACAGGGAAGAAAAGAGGAGCAAAGGAGGATAAGGGCGAAGCAGGAAGATGCTAAGTCTAGGAAAGGACAACGGTGGCGAAGAATAGAAAGTGGAGGCGCAATCAAGTGGTCCCGACGAGAGTAGAGGAGAAGTGCATCGAAGAAAGAGGAGAGAGACACAACTAAGTATAGAAAAGGACAAAGGGGAGGCGGACACCTTCCAATTTCGAACGTGGGCCTAGTGGGAGGAAGAAAAAAGACAAGAGCGGAGAAATACGTCATGACAAGCCAAAGACGAGGGCATCCCTGAACTAGGAAACAAACAGGAGGAGGAGAAGGAAAAAGAGTAGGAGCAGGAACACAAGCACGACGGGGAAGAAAAGGGGTTAAAGGACACAAAAGCGAGAATAGGAAAGGAAGCACGAACGCGAGAGGATGATGAGTACGGAACAGCGAAGAAAAGGACAAGCAAAGCAGGTTGTGTCGCCTGAAGAGCAAGAGACACAGCAGACAAGTATATCATCATTAGCCCTACAAGGTCAGAGCGACTCGCACCAGGATCACAGGTATGTTCTCGCCAGCCAACTCGCATTGAAACACCCAGAGTTCAAGGGACAAGATCAAAGCAAGGTCAGGCGCACACGGGAGGAACACGGAAGACTACACAAGGGAGCAAAACGCCAACAAGTTTGACAGCGTAATCATCGAGAGATCATGTGCCAAGTAGAACAAGAATCTTAGGATCCGAACAGTGACGGTACATTGCGTAGAAGACACACACAGTTCACACCACAAACAAGGATACATAGTATGCTTCGAGTCCCGAGTGTCGGAATCCAGACCTAGCACACACATTCATCCAATATCCCACTCCGTCTCCAATAACGCGATTCACGGGCCCCAATGAACAGGAGCCAATCATCTCAATAACATGAACCATCCACCCGCCCGCAACCAGACTTCCTACCACTCTCCCTCACCATCCACAACAACCTCCCCGCAAATACAACGTATCTCCCGTGACGGGAAATAACCCTCCCGGCCTACCCCCAACACATCACACAACACAGTCCCAAAATTCCTAATCTGCCACTACCCATTCCTACATACCCCGGCGTAAAGATTTTTCCCACTCCTGTCCACCGCCCTACACCACTCTCCAATCACTCAAGGACGGAAGGATCCAGTCTTACGGAACGAATACCAAACGAAAAGACTCAGTATTCTGACTCGAACAAAGCATAGAGAAGACAGCCAAACAAACACAACAAGGATCTCACATTGGTGCTTTTCCAGCAATACAAGGAAAGGTCAAACTTCAAACACCATTAACCTATTCATTATGGATCATTATTATTAATTATTATTATTTATTATTATTATTATTAATATCTTATTCCTACTATTCTTATTATTCTTTAATATTATTCCTGTTATCGTAATCATTTAACAAGACAATAAGACAATAATTTTAATAACAACGATATCTTGTGTACTTGTTAACAGCATTAACCGAGTATTGAACTTAATCACCCATGCTCCTGTGCTTATTCCCTCAAGTTCAAAGACTATGCATATAGCGGCAGCCTATAGCTGAGAAGGGTAAAATGCTGGCAAGACCGCATAGTGCTCTCATCTCTTAGGAATTCTAGCCGAAACCTGCTCAGGCTCGGATTCAACAAACGCTCCCCAGGTGGGGAGGCTAAATGCTGCCCAAATTTCAGCAGGCCATTTCAGACGCGCAAAACCTTTTTGCGCCCCTCTATTAGTCTGCATCCAACGACAGTACTAACTTCGTCGATCAGCTGTACTGTACGTGGCTCCTGAATCGACGGACACAGGCCGTAACGTCCATTCACGCAGTCATAATTTGCGTTCCCCGGGTGGGGAGGGTAAATGCTGCCCAATTTTCCGAAGCCCAAATTTTGTCTCGGCAAGAAGCCAACCTCAACACCCCCCCAGAACTCACACTAGCCCCAATCTCACAATGGCAGCTACATTCGCAGAAGTAGTCATGAAAGGGACTAGCACAACCAACAAAGAGGCCATTCCTCCAGTCACAACAGGGAAGCAGGATCCGAAGATAACAACAGATACGCACCAGGGACCAACAGACTCAAAATCACAGAACTCACACCGTGAACACTCTACAGCGAACACGGGCTCAAGTTCTCTGAGCCAGAGAGCGATGGAATTCCTTATTGCAAGCACAAGAACCAAGGCAAAGGTTAACATCATAAAGGAAACCATCCACACAGACCAGGAAGAAGAGCAAACAGTTGAGATCTGGGAATACCCAGAAGAGGATGAGTCCACCTGCCAAGAAGTCTTCGAAAGGCACGCAGTGCTATTCAATTTCCCTCAAAAATGCTCAGACATGTCACCCAACGAAAAGCGAAGATGGGTACACGACACCCTGCGCTCACTGGAAGAGATTCCAGGAACTGAGGCAGATGTCACCTACCACAGGCGAACCAGGAACACCGTAATGATTGTAACCCCGGACAGAGCTCAAGCTCGGTACCTCATCTCCCTCAACAACCTGAAGTGCAAGAAAGGAGTAGTGACTGTCACAGGCTGGAAACCGAGAAGAGCTCCGCAACCTGATGCATCGCGCCACAGACAGATAATGTTGAGGAATAATTTCTGGGTCCAGTTTGACAACATTTCAGAGGGCCTGCACAGTTTTGTCGAGAGAAGACTCGCCGAAGCATATCCGAACAACCCAGCGTTGGAGTGGTTTTCGTCGGGCCCAGATTTTTTGGCCCCCAATCACGACTCCAGGATTGCGTGCTTGCAAACAACCTCAGGCATCCCCCCGCAATTCCCGGACTCTTGGTTGTTTAAGAAGAATGGACAAAAACTCACAATTTTTCTGTCCACAAAAACCAACCCTCGATGCTTCAAGTGCAGGACAAAGGGTCACCTGGGCACAGACAGGAACTGCCCCCTCAACAGGGACAGAGCAGGCAAACCCGGACAGAACCAAGCGAACCTGGTTGAATGCGAGGAAAAAGCAGGTTTGTGGTTCGTCAATGACCCCACCTATAGAGGGTGGGTCTTCGACGACACAGTGGATGCACCCAAATGGGTCTGGGTCATGAAGGGTGAACCAACGGTCCAACCCGACATCTACCCCCCCCATGGGAGCGAATGGCAGAAGAAATGATCCAAAAGAATTGAGGACAAAGAAGGGGGCTTTCTGAAAAACCAGATCCTAGACACGTAGAGTGTGATGGAAGACAAGCACCGCAAAGACACCATGCAGGAACTCATAAAGACAGGAACCTCAGCAGAAAAGGCCTTTGTGGAAAACCTGCAGGCCAGAGGAAAGCTTTTGTTGGCTGAAAAAGAACTGGCAAGACAACAGAAACAAACAAGAAGCCAGGGAGGGAACGCTCAGACGGAACCTACAAAACCGCTGAAAAGGAAGGCCGATCAAACAACACCTCCTTCACCAGCGGGCAGCACGTCCACAAGCAAGATCAGCAGGATGGAAGACAGTCACAAAACTGCAGACAACAGGGCGGAAACAGCTGTCGCAATGGACCTCTCAACCACAAACACACAGGGAACAGCAAATGCAAAAAACGAGCAAGCAGGCACGGGGAAGGG